ACTCACCTCAGCGCCATCGGGCGGCAGATGCATTTGGGGGCGGTGAACCCCCCGACCTTTGCTCTACCTTGTCAAAACGAGGCTGTTTTGAGCCCGCCCCTGCTCCTAGGTAGAGGGGCTCACCCCTGGCAGCTCCTGGGGCACACTAGCGGAACACCCTGCTCCCTTGGCTCTTTGGGCGCGACGGCAGAGCCGTCCGCCTCTGTTGGCTCCTAGGGCATTCCGACGGTACATCCCACCCCCGCTAGCTCCCCTGACATGCCCTCCCCTCCATGGAACAGGAAGGGTCCTGACTCCTGCAAGGACAAACTGACATCTGTCAGCACATCCTCGTTCTCCAGGTTGTCCCACTCGATATCATCGGCTACCGATTTTTCTTCCTTCATCACCTAGTTGTCGTCACCATCGTCATCATCATCATCATTGTCAGTGTCTTCCCCTCGTTCTCGCGCCTGCAGCTTTCGCTGCTTCTTCCTCTTCTTGTCCTCCTTCGCCTTCCTCAGCCACTCGCCCTCGACGTGATTTATCGTCCTCATGGCCGAATCCCTCGGCAGCGGCGCCGGGTGATCCATGACGATGAGGTCCCTCGGCAGGTCTCGCCCCTCTCAAAATTAGTATCATGGGGTCGGGAAATCAATTGAAGAGAAGGCAAGAGAAAGGGAAGCTTACAAAGACAACGTAGCCTAGCTCTAGCCTCATCGAAGGATGCCCCGGCACTGGGTAGACAAGGTCAAGGGCGGCACCCACGTCGTCCGCAAAGGTTCCATTGCCTCCTTGATGTGTTGTGTGATCTTGGAGTTGGGGAGCGTTCCCTCGGCGCCACCCTCCTTACGTGGTAAGCCTCGATCAACGGCGCCACCCTTCTTACATGGTAAGCCCCGATGACGCCCGACCCCTTCAGGCCGTTCTCCTTCAGAATGTGGATGGCGGCGATGTGGTCTCAGATCTTCTTATCCTTCTCCGGGACACCCAACTTCCCCCACTGCTCTAGGGCCTCTTCGATCAAGCACCCGGTGAACTCCGACAGAGGGGTGGCAGCGTCATTCTTGAGGTAGAACGACTATGAGTGCCACCTCTTGTTGGACATCGAGAGCAGCATGGATGGGTACACGCCAACCCGATTGTTCTGAAGTTGGATGCTGGCGCACCCCATCGGCATGTGCAGCTCCTGCCTACTATTTTTCTCCCTCTTCTTCTGGAGGTTGATGGTGAAGAAATGCCTCCACAAGTCGAAGTGGGGGCTAATCCCCAAGAATCCCTCGCACAGCGCGACGAACACCGCCATGTGCTGGATCCCGTTGGGATTGAGATGTTGTAGCTCAATCTTGTAGTAGTGCAGCAGCCCCTAAAGGAATTTGTGGGCGGGGGTCACGAGCCCACGCTCGTGGAAGTGGGCAAACGACACCACGTAGCCATCGAGCGGTGATAGCAAATCCTCGTTGTCGGGCAGCAACCACTCCTCGGTTGAGGTCCACGCGTGGAGAAGACCGTGATGGACGAGGCCCTCCATGCGCTGGAAGGTAATGTCGGAACGGCACCATGGATCCATTGGAGGTGGGGGTGGATGGATGTAGGCTCAACGGTGGCGGAGATGCGGAGGCAGGAAACCTAAGTATTGGCGGCGGCGGCGTGGTTGCGGAGGTAGGGATGTAGGCGTGCATATGAAACATGGAGGGCTAGCCCTTTGGTTTTATAGTGGCGACGGGTGCGAGGAAACCAACCGTCCGCCTAGACATCCGTGCCTACCACGACTCATCACGGGGCGTGCGCACGCAACCTATGGCTATCCCCTCGGAAAACACGCCAGACGTTTCACCTCCCCGAACGGGCCATAACCCGTCAAGGGTAAAATGGATACAGAGCTGAAAACGCTCCTACGGCCCGTCTAGGCCCAGGAGTTCGAAGGTTGGCCCACCGACGGGTTTGACAACCGCTCCAGGCACCTTTAGAGTGAGGCGTGGAAAGGGATGGGCCCACTAGCGGACAGAACCCGGGCGCACGAGCGCCGCGGGCATCCTGGGCCATGTTCGAGTCTCGGCCATATACGATCCATGGTTTTTCCTCGAAGAAAGGCAGAGAGCCCTCCGGACCGATCGAACGGACCCAAGAACTATATGGATTGACCACTGAGAATCTAGAGTCGGTCACCAAGCTGACCCAAGCCGGATCCCCGCGAACGGGATGCTGGGGCCCCACTCAGACTAGCCCATTAATAGCTCACCGATCAACATGATTTGTCCATAGAGGAAAATCATGACACTGCTCGACCACTCCATTTTTATCAGAAAAAACGCTTGAGGGAAGACAATCGCAAAGACGAGCAGATCCTCGACCGGACCCTTGCTACGGGCGGGGGCTCGAGGAAAGTTGGACTCGCACGAAGACCGAACGCATGGTCGTAGAACGACAAACCCCCGTAAGGGTCGAAATCAGGAAAGACCTTTTCTGACCTACCAAATCTCACGGCTATACCCCTAAGGGGTCTGATCTCGACGAAAGGGAATCATCGTCCCCAGGTCACGCCGTGGGCGACAAAAGAAGGCTAAGGCCCTTAGGGTCCTCCTGTTCAGAAAAGCCTCCGAAGGAGTATTCTACTCCTTCGTAGGCTCGGAGGCTACTATCGGGGACCAATACTAGGGTACCCAAAGAGGAGGAGCTAATGGTCATCAATATTGATTTATCCGAGCAGTCAAGACCCCAGGCGATTATAGCTCCAACTGACCCCAGGCGCGCGGGCTCCGCCTCGCCCGACCTCTGAGGAAGGGCTTCGCCTCGCCCGACCCCGAAGCCGCAAGCTCCGCCTCGTCCGACCTCTGGGGGTGGGCTCTGCCTCGCCCGATCTCGAGGCCGCGATCTCCGCCTCGCCCGACCCCGAGGCCACGATCTCCGCATCGCCTGACCCTCAAGGGGCGGGCTCTGCCTCGCCCGACTTCTAAGGCGGGCTTTGCCTCGCTCGACCCTGTGGCTGCGGGCTCCGTCTCGCCCGACCCCTTGGGTTCGCACTCTGTCTCGCCCGACGGAGACCCATATCACCGCCAACGACTCTAAGTCCAGGCGTATGGGCCTAGGGCCTGGGTCAAGACTATGACATCAGGAAAGAGACCGGCATGCCTTGATATAACTTATGGCCATAACGGGCCATACCAGAGGGTTCACATCAAGAACAGCGTCGGGCGTGCTGGTGTTGTTCCGCCTAACCCTCGTACGAACGGTGACAGGCGCGTCAGTTCACCACAACGTCCGCTAAGATGGGATGGAACGCCATGACCGGCAGACGACGCCTGCGCGTGGCGCCAGTGACGGACATGGCCGCGATGTGGAGTTGTTCCTGTTGACATCTATAGGGTCGGCGGGACCTGCATGAAGGAGAAGAAGGACCCGGCGATCCTGGAAGCTCTCCTCTCTCTCTCTCTCTTCTTCTTCTTTTCTCCATTGTAACCTGTGCTTTCTCTTGGCCTATAAAAAGGAAAGCAGGGCATCCCCTGAAGGGGGACCGATCGAATCATCCCGAACCGATCAAAACACGAGATAAATACACAAGAACACGACACAAACACACGGCCAAGTAACGATCGAGCTCTCAGCACCCGTTCACTCTTTCCACCAGAGACTTAGGATCATTTCCCTCTCTCGTCTGGTTGTAACCCCTACTACAAACTTTCAGTGCTAGTAAAACGAGTAGCAGCGTTGAACTGGACGTAGGGATTTTCTGCCCGAACCAGTATAAACCTCGTGTCCCCTAAGCACACCATCCGAGCCAAACGCGCAATATTAGAAATTTACTCGTCGGTGGTAAACTCAAAACACCGATAGTAGTATCATTAGATTTTTCATTAATTATATTGTCATAATATACCTATTTGATGTCATAAATCTTTATAATCCTCTCTATAATTTTGATCAAACTTGAAATCTTGTGACTTTTCAATAAAATTAGAATAACTAATAATTTGGGACCAATAAAGCTGTTATTGGGGGCTTCACCGGCTCCTACTACTATAGTAGAGAAGTCGGAGGCCCCAATAGCCACATCAAATGAGCCCTTACTATATTTGCTCTTATCTATCTTGGGGTGTTTGACCATAGAAGGTTATGTAACTACTAGAAAGATAGTATAAAAAGTAAAAATAAGAAAAGAGGAAGGTTGTTCAGCTCACATTTCTTTTATTTATGTGATTACAATTGTTGAACAAGATTATGTCATTGGATTGAGCAACCATTTTTTTAGGGGAGACATTTCGATTGCGCTAGGTGAGCACTTTACATAGCAGTAGCCATGGGCCGGCCCATGGTTCTTACGGGCCTATTTTGCCATTAGACCTTGAGGATGTGCAGCTTCTGGTTGGTTGGGGTAGTTGCTAAAAAAAAGAACGTAATGCAACAGATAAGACTATCTTTCAACAAGAAATCCATACTAAACCTAAAATATGTAGTCTTAAAATGAGTCTCTAATAGAGTAGAAAGATCTATTTTGGGTTGCTTGAGAGGCACAACTCAAATATATATATCCTCTCTCCTGAAAACCTTGCAGAAATAATTTTTTTAGTCTTGTTGTTGAAAAAAAATGCTGAATATGTATTTAATCTTTTACTTTTAACGTTATTAAAGAATAAATAGGTGTTATATTTTTGGTGTTGTGGCCGGAGATAGGTAAGCAGCGTCAGTTTAGCTGATGCCACTCTACATCTTCTCTTATCCTTCGGATCCCCTCCTTCCTCGGCTACGCGTCCGCATCCCTCATCTTCTCTCTGCCACCGGCCTGGTGCAAGACCAAGGTGATTTCTGTTGTTTCCTTTGTCAACCCATTGCGTACGTGCTGCATCTCGTTCCCAATTCTGCGCGCAAAATTCCTGCCGCTGATGTTATAGGCTACCACTCTCATTCGCGCGCGCGTGTTGTTCGACGATTCGCCTCTCTCGTTTCTTTATTGCGCCATGCCATCGTGTGGCGTCTGAATCTCAGACAGAGTTTCGGTCTTTCGACAGGGGGAGAAGGTCGCGATGGCCAGCGGCGTCAGCGATGGCAGCGGGAAGAGCCTGACGCATTGGCTGCGGGAGAACGGGTTCGACGACGACGCCGTGGCGCGCATGTCCAGGCGGTGCAGGAACCTGCACAGCCTCGACGCCGGCGAGGCCTCGGGCGTCTGGGACTACCTCCTGACGTGCGTCAATATGGAGCGCCGGAAGCTGCGGCACGTGGTGGCCAAGTGCCCCAAGGTGCTGACCCTGTCCGTGGACGGCAAGCTCGTGCCCACGGTGCAGTGCCTCGCCACGCTGCAGGCCAGGCCCGGGGAGATGGCGCAGGCCATCGCCAAGTTCCCCCAGATACTGTTCCACAGCGTCGAGGAGAAGCTCTGCCCGCTCCTCGCCTTCTTCCAGACGCTCGGCGTCTCCGAGAAGCAGCTCGCCAAACTGCTCATGGTCAACCCGCGCCTCATCAGCTACAGCATCGAGGCCAAGTTCTCGCAGACCGTCGACTTCCTTGTCAGCCTCGGCATCGACAAGGAAGGCATGATCGGCAAGATCCTCACCAAGGAGCCGTATATCATGGGGTACAGTGTCGACAAGCGGCTGCGTCCCACTGCCGAGTTCCTCAAGTTGGCAGTCGGGCTACAGGGGGCAGATCTCAAAAGGGTGATCATGAGCTTCCCGGATATATTGTCGCGAGATGTGGATAAGATTCTGTGGCCCAATTTAGCGTTCCTGCAGAGCTGTGGATTCAGCAGGAATCAGGTTACGGCATTGGTAGCTGGATACCCTCCTGTTCTCATCAAGAGCATCAAACATTGCCTGGAGCCAAGGATGAAGTTCCTGGTCGAGGAAATGGGACGGGACATGGGCGAGGTGGTAGATTATCCCCAGTTCTTTCGCCATGGCCTCAAGAGGAGCCTGGAGTACCGTCACAAGGTGCTCAAGCAGATGAACTCGAGTTGCAGTCTCAGCGAGATGCTAGACTGTAACCAGAAGAAGTTTGCCATGAAATTCGGTTTGGTTACTGCAGTTTAGGTACTCATCTTGTCTCTAGTTCCAATGTAGTATGTTTTATTCTCAGGTGAATCTTTTCGTTTGTACCATCAGGTTGTATTGTTCTTGAATATTTGGGCAATGATAATTGATAATGCAAGGTCCTCTTTCAAGTTTCAACTGGTATCCTTGACCTTGAGTATATATAATCTCTATATTTTTTCTGAGAGCAAGCAAAATGAAAGCATGTGGTTTCCTTCTGTCGGTACACTCAACTGAAATCCACAAATTTGCAGTAGTGTGGTAAAGCACAAACTGGATTTAAGATAAGCTATAATTTTCCTCTCTAAGAAAGAACTATCACAATTACCTATTTACAGTTTTACACATGCACCAACTTAGAATCTTGGCTCCTCACTTACATACAAGCACATATATAGAGGAAAAGAGTGCCTACTCAGCCAAACTCCTGTGCACAATGTATCTGAAAGAAGATTTGTAGGGCAACCACTCGACACACTTGTCAATCCTCCTCCTAAGATATTGTCTGATCTCTTTTTGCTGTAGCTCAGGCATGCTCTCGCATACTATGTCAACAAGGTCAGGCAACTCTAGGGAAGCATCCTTTGCATAGAAGTGGAGAACTTTGGGTAGGAAGATGGTCTGCTTCCGGACCATAACATTTGCTTGAATGAACTCGCTTCTGGCTTGCTCCAGTTGATGGTATAATTTCTTGTCTGTGTACAGCCTTACCTGCATAGATCATTAACAGTAACTATAACTCAAGAAACATATGGTTGGAATGTTGGAAAACTAGCAAGAGCTGTGGAACTTACAGGTGGATCTGAAAATGCTCCGGTCGAAAGAGCAAAGTGAGCAATTGGCTCTGAATAACGAAGCGCATATGGATGTATGGAGCTCCCTGATTTTTTCATTGGTGTAAATAGTGTGCGAACCCACTGTAATTTCATGCCCATCAATATGTTAGTGATTAGATGCGAAACTTTTTTTTTCGTTTGTTTAAATCCTGACTGCTGATTTCTATATAGACAAGTGCTATACCAGTGAAGGGTGGTGGGATTGACATCCTAGAATTGAGTTCTGAATAATTTGGGAATTTACTGAATGTCCACCCACATTATATGCAGCCTGGAACAAATTGCTCAACACTGTCAGAGAAATTCATACGTGATTCCCGTGTGACTATTAAATGACTATTTGTTAAAAGTATGGTAACTATACCTTCAAAATCAAGTCAGTGCTTTTCATTCGTTTTTCCTGTAATCCATAGGCCATGAAAGCCTGCAATATTTCAGAAGGGTAGTTAGTTATGCATCATGCTGAGGCTAAAGTTGAATATTCTTTAAGTTGTCAGTTGTTAACAATATTGAACTTACATGCATAACCAAAGCATTGTGGATGTTAATCCAGAAACAGAGTTGCTCTTCATGTGCCATCTTTGTAGGATCAATCTTCTCCAGCCGTTTTATCAGCGATCTGGGATACAAGATACCACCTATAAATCAAGCATTTCCCCCTTCCTATGTTCTAATCTTTTTTGCATGGTTGCTTACCTGATAGTATCGAGCATTTTAGAGGCATAATCAAATTTGTCTTCATCTATATGTATCTTTGGGAAAATTATCATCCCACTGTACTGCCCATTATTCCCATCAGATGAAGTATATATATCTGAGGTTGCATCGACATTGTAATAGCATCGAGGGCTCCAACCATCGACCGGGTACTTGAGAGAAAAAGAACTCGATGCAGATGAGAAAGAAGGTGTGGATGCCGTCTCAGAATTCGCCTCTTGTAATGGCCTGCTTGCAAGTTTGCAGTAGACAGCAGAAATGCACCTTAGTATGTCCTCTGAAAGCTTGCACGAGATCTTGGGCACATATTCAGCGATCGAAGCGCTCAAGAAGTTGGCAAGGCTAGACCGCCCTGAAGATGATCTTGACAGCTCCTGTGTATGCTTCAGCAACATCAGAATTGTGTCAGATGCTTTCTGTTCTGTTGTGAAGAACCAGCTACTAAAAACAGAGCTAAAAGGGCATGGGGTGTCGTTTGTGGGATCTTTCTAAGTGGATGGTAAATACTGGAAAGATGGGTCGAAGATAAGAGATGCTGTTCATACACGTTTAGAATCTGAGAGTGTTGGCAGGTTGTAGGATGCAGACTCCTTGATGTTTTTCAGGCGAAGGGTGCCTTCGTCAGTAGTCCTTTTGCTGTGTTGACGGTGCGATTCCTGCTCCACCTGATTTGATCATAATAACTGTTTCGTTAGCATGCAGCATGACATCTGAACATTGATGTGTTCCACAAGTTTTGTACCTGAGCGGACGCACGAGGAGAGACACCGAGGTACTGATCGAATGCTGCTCTGTACAAGGACAGCAGGTGCAGTTCCTTGCGAACAACTTCCTCCTCAAGGACAGCTATCTCCCAGGCCAAATCTGCAACTGACTGCATTCAAAACAAAATCAGGAATCAATAAATAAAAGGCATAATTAATTCGTACTTGGATCTGTACTATTCTCTCTCTCTTTCTTGTTAATTGCTGTTCAAAATTTGGAATTGAGACACAGTTCCTGACTATAGCACGTACTAGTAGTACATCATTAAGAAAAAAAGAAGCATAATGATAACTCATGACTTTTGTCACTTCTCCCTAGATATGACAAAGCATCATTCTGTTGGCATCAGGGATAGATATACTAAACTATTAAGAACAGGAACGTGATTCATAAAGTATGGACGGAAGACCTGCATTGTAACAGCTTTTATTCAGCTTTTGGAAACAACTAGGCCCTCGAGATCATGAACTAATTTGTTAAGTGTCCAGAACTAACCTTTGAAATACTTCTTTCAGCTCTCTCTGCAGTTGTGATGATGCGATGCTCGGGCAATTGTTCATGGAGGTTGAGTGAATATCTTCTGTTGGCCATCTTGCTGCGATTGACTGCCTGTACAATCATGAAATGGTGTGGCAAAGGCAAACTTCAGCAAGAATGTAGCAGCTGGAGAAATCTTTTCATGTACTGTTTGACGAACAGGACAAGTATGAGCAAGAACCAAAGACAAATTAGATTACCCACAGGTATGTGATCGGAGAGTCGTGGTGACACATCAGGAACATTTACAGACGTGCTCATAGCACTGAAAATACAACGATTGACTAAGGTTAGAAAGACACCGAGTCATAGAATTGCAGTGTAATTGAAAGCTTGGGTAGGCAGGCTACTGAAACTGAATAACTTTGCAGACAGAGATGGATCGATCCTTTCTTTTTCAGTCAAAGGGCACCAGAAACAAGTAGCAAACAGATGATTTTTTTTTAATGTCACCGGGAAGAGGGGGGTGGGGGCGGGGGGCGGGGCGGGGAGGAGGTGGGGGGGATTACTCTACGGTGCTGGAAAATGATTTTGGGAGTACAACTGAACTGTCTATATTGCTATTCTGGATTCTTATTGTTCACTGACAGAAAAGGGAAGAGCGCTCTGGCTGCAAGAAGCCTAGAACAGAAACTTTCAGTATTACTCGCAGTACATATCACCTGAATTGAAGTTACCTGCTGAAGACAATGACAGAGCACAGTAACAGAAGGAAACACTTGAAGTGGGTCCATTGCAAAAACAAAAAAAAACGTTTATTTTTATAGAGAGTGGAAATAAGAAAACCCCCATGCTGCCCACTTTAATTTTGTGCAATCAAATAAGGATAAAACGGTAACACCAAGGGGGTGAAAAAAAAGGTCAATGGAAACCACTAGAGATGCATTTTGTAGAAAGAATATATGGTCACTTTTGCTGAAAAAAAGAAGAGAAAAAAAAAAGAATATATGCTGACAATGCTTGAAGGGCCTATCGACATGGTGCTTGCTGAAGAAAAAAGAAACAGAATGAATATAGAAGGGAGTGCTTGATGCTAACCTTCTTGAGTGTCGGTGTTGCAGGTACGAAGATGAGTGACCCCCATTTGGTGTTTCTGCGTCGCGGAAGCCTCTTTCCTTGAGCGCCTCTAGTCGTCCGGCGTTCTCCATGGCTGATGGATGCTCTGTTCTTCAGTCACCAAGTGTCAAGGCCAAGCATGCACTGGAACTGGATACAAGCTAAGTAAGCAACACTAATTGTGCATGACAAGCTTCAGGTAAGGATAAAGACCATGTAATCCCTAACGCTTGGAGCTAACTGTACTCACGTATTATGAGCTCTTGCTGCGTGGCATGAGCTGAGCAGAATACGAGGTGAGGTGATGAGGTGCAAAGGGACCAGAGGCCGCAGCGGAGCTCAACGAAAACGATGAACAGGAGCTGTGCGCGCTAATGATGCTAGCTAGCTAGCTAGCGGTAACGGACGGTAGGCAGATAACAATAGTGGGTTGGAGTTGGAGGAGGATTAAGCTAGAGGTGATATTTGTGGAGGATGGATTAGCTCTCGCTAGGTAGCCGGTGGGTACTGATGATGAGGTGGCCCACGCAGGAGGCCAAATGCAAAAGAAAGGGGATGAAACCTGCAGGAAGATACGCCCAACGCTCATCTGGGAAAAAGATTAAGAAAAGGAGGCAAGCGCTAAAGAAAGAAATTAAAGAGAAACGCAGGGCACCTCCGCCATCACGATGTCGTCCGGCCGGTCCCTCTGCCGTCGTCCTTGGGTTGCCCCTGCTAATTCATTCCCCTATTTTAATTCATTATATTAATTAAAAGAAGTAAAAAAGGACAGGGAGAGGCGAACGGCCGGCCGGCTCCAGCAGAGTTGAGTCCAAACAGTGGCCGGACACGGGAGTAATGGAGAGGCGAGGCGATGATGACGGCGAGGAGGAGGGGAAAGAGGGTTAGCCGTTAGCGAATAGCGTGACCTGCAGGAGGGCTCTCAGTAATGACGCGCGCGCGTTTTGCTGCCAGAAAGAAAGCGACGAGGGGTTAGCGAGGAGTCGTCCCTAGAGCCTAGAGGTGAGGGGACTGCTGCGTCTGCATGCTGGGTGTGTCATTAGGTGGCTGGCGATGGCGATTAGGTTGCGAGTTGCTACCAGTACCTGC